GTGAAGGCTGTGTGGCTTCCATTCCCAGCCCCCCCCCCCATCAGCGGTGGCCAAGGCTCAGGTGTGAGGACCACTGAGGTGCAGAGCACAGGGTCTTCAGAACAGCGAGGCTGCTCTGCAGTTGTGCTTCCCAGCCCCCGCTGAGCTCTGGGAAACGAGGGCCGGAATGGCTCAGGAGCCCACTGCATGCCTGCAAAACGCTCATGGGGGCAGGCTGTGCACCAGACCTCTCTGCACTTTGACTCGGTTTTCTCTAAACGCAAAGGTAAAGTGTATTCATTTTTTTAAAATTAAAAAGCCATTAAACTTTGTAACAGTTCTCTTGAGCAAGGGTATCTTGATTTTTCAGCCAGGCATTTTTGTTCTTTGATTTTAGGGTAGTTTTGACAGGTTTCCTTCCATTGAGATCAGAATTCCTCTGTGTAGTTTTGTTTGCCGGGAAGTGATTGGTTGAAGCTGCTGGTGGGTTCCTGTGGTCTTAGTGGAGATCAGTCAGCTCTCAGGACTTCGCTCCTGCTCTGTTGTTGTGGTGATAGGATGCTTTCCTGGCTCCTGTGTACCGCCGTCTCCCGACTGGAGAGTTTCAGCTGGTAGCGAGTGAGGGTGGTAGCTGTGGACAGGGCTTCTGAGAGTTACCCTCTGCCCTCTCTCAGCTGCAGGACTCATGCACACGTTCAACGCCCACGCGGCCACTGACATCACGGGCTTCGGGATTCTGGGCCACGCACAGAACCTGGCCAAGCAGCAGAGGAACGAGGTGTCGTTTGTGATTCACAATCTTCCTGTGCTGGCGAAGATGGCTGCTGTGAGCAAGGCCTGTGGAAACATGTTTGGCCTCATGCATGGGACCTGCCCTGAGACGTCAGGTAAGAGGATCCCGGGACCTGAAGTTAAAGTGCGGGAAGAGGCTGATGGAAAGCCCGGCCCAGAGCGTGGGTGTGTCGGCTTGGTGCCCCCGCCGTCCTCTGTGGGGTCTTGTCTTTGTGTAGGAATGTGACGTTGGTGTGGGAGAGTGAAGGAAAGAAGTCATTACCAAAGTTCTGTTTCTCTTTTATTTCTATTTCCTTTTCTGTGCAGTCTTGGGGATTTAAAAAGTAGATGTACGGAGCCCCAGAAAATGTAGTATCCTGGGTCTGGGAGCCCGGCACGGCAGCCCTGCACAGTGGCTGGCCTCTCAGGGGCCCCAGGCCTTCCTTGGCCCTGTAAGGACTGTCGGACCTTTTGCCTCCCTTCTGACAACAGGGGAAGAAGCTTCCCAAGGAGCTGGGGCTGAGACCCCTTTGCTTGTTGGCCTGACGTCCGGATGAACAGTCTGCCACCTAGTGGGCACTGAGAGAATGTTGAGTTAGTGAACATTACTCATCATTAAGATTTGTTTCCTTTATTTGGAATATGGGTTTTCCATTTATATAGAAGTAGAGTGCCCAATGTGTGTTTCATCCTAATTGTGCCAGTTTTGCAGAGAAACAGGTAAAACTTTCTGGCTTGGCTATAGCAAAATGCTTCATTTTCATGTATTGACTTTTTTCTGTTCTGGAGGTGATGGTCATCAGGACTAGAGCCTAGACACTTTGATGCGTACACACTTTCCTGAGTCTTTAACATAGTGACACATTCTTGGTGAGGTGAGCAGTCCCTGTAGGGGAACAAATTAAAACAGAGCATTTCTCCTCTGCTTGTAAATGTTTCTTAAAATGTATTAATGTGAAAGGGGCAGCTACCGTGTATGTTCCTGAGGCCTCAGATACTTTACATGGCGTAAACGGCTCTCGAATAGGTCATCTGGACAGTTTGTTTTTTAATATAGTAGGAGTTCACAAAGGAATTAATCAGTATTAATCATTAAGAATGGGCTTAATTTAATGGGAAGAGCAACTTGAATGGATGTGTTGAACCTGTGCAGAAGTCTTTTATACCACACTTAATGGCGGTTTTTTTCTTTTTGCTAGGAGGCCTGCTAATCTGTTTACCACGGGAGCAAGCAGCTCGGTTCTGTGCAGAGATAAAGTCCCCCAAGTATGGTGAAGGCCACCAGGCATGGATTATTGGGATTGTTGAGAAGGGCAACCGTACGGCCAGAATCATAGACAAGCCCCGGATCATCGAAGTTGCGCCACAAGTGGCCACTCAAAACGTGAATCCCACACCCGGTGCTACCTCTTAATCTAGACAGAGATAGCCATTTGGTTTTGTTTTTAAATAGATCTATTTCCTTTATCCTAACTCCAATTAAAGACTACAGTATAAGCAACAACAAAAATCTCATTGTGTCTACGCATCTGGTGACCTTAGGTCGGTTTGTGAGTGGATGCAGTTAATAAAATGAAATCCACGGCCTTCTTTCCCTGTTACATTGCCTGAAGATGCACCTGATCTCGAGGCAGCTTCTGAGTTGAGGATTATATTGTTATCCAATGCTGTTGATTCATTTTGAATCTTAGACATGTATCTCTTGCCACATAGGCTCTTCCTAAAGGTGCTTTCCCACAGCACAGACATTACCCAGAGTGATGTCACATAGCAGTTTGTGTCTTTCATTTTGTGTGTATTTATCATATCAGTCTGGTCTTCTTTTTTAAAGCATCTTGGATGGTGTTCTGGAAAGACAGAATTGGTAAGTGACACGCTGGTGTCCCACAATACGAGCATTGCATGGTTCCCTTGCCTCTGCGTCTTTGATTTTAAGCCAAGTCTGATGATTCGGGAGCATCTCCCGCCCGGGCAGGACGTTCTCCACTTGTGCGATCAGGTCAGCAAGACAAGTGCTTCTCTGTATGGAAAGCGCTTGAGAGACAAAACAGAAATTTTCTTTCTTTTCTTTCTTTTTTTTTTTTTGGTAGCCTTTCTGGAATTTACGATAATACCATTAACTGTTTTCTTTACTGGTAGCAGAGAAGATAATTTTTGCAGTGTAATTAGATGTTCTATAGTGCAGCAAGGAATTGCCTTCTGACTGGGGTTCATGCACAGTACTCATCTGCAATCCAATATAAAATCACGCAAATAATTTTTAAATATAATCAGTAATAATGACTTCTGTGGATGGTAGTGTTTAATACATTCTATATTTTGTATAGTGATTTCTGCCTAATTAGCATTGTTTTGCCCTTTGCGCCAGTACTTTTTGTGCACGCTTTTTGTGATTGTGTTAAAAATCTGCATTGCCAACATTGCAGCTACGACTTAAACTTGTTACCCAAATAAATATTTAATTTTTTAATTGCTCTTGTATAATCAGATGCCCCTTTTAGTATTATTTTAGAAGCATTGGGAGGGTTTTGCCTAAAGTACAATTTATTGGGGAAAACTAGATTTTAGTTTTATAAAACTTTTAAGTCTTTCATGGGACCTATATTTTCTTGAATTAAATTTTGTAGTTCTAGAACAAATAGGTGATCTAAAAGGTGTTATCTGTGTTACTTAAAGACAGAGGCTTCCTAATATCTAACCTACTAAGCAGTCAGATTCCGATCGCTAAGCACAAGGGCACGGAGTCCTCCAGCGACGTCCTCATGGGAGCGGCAGTGCCTCATCCCTGCAGTTCAGGACTGCTTCCTGCTTACAGCCACGGAGACACAAGCCACTCGTCCTCGTCGCCGTAGGAGACCGCCGCCACCCGGAAGATGCCGCTCCTGCAGGGAGAGCTTGAGGCAGGCGCTCTTGTCTGTGGGCCGTGGCACATTCACACGTGTACAGCTGGACGGGGCCCCCAGTCGAGGGCAGCGCAGAGGGTCTGCCACAGAACGGGCAGGAGTTGGACATTTTATAGGACTTTATAGATGTTGGTCCTCAAAAGCCACACCCCGGTGGTCTACAAAATAAATGTGTTGGGAACCTCTGAGTATGAAAAATAGACTATTGGGCTTAAAGGAAAAAATGATGGTTGAATCTGAACAGCAGTAGATTATATCTGAAATGCTGCTTTCCTTGGTGGCAGGTCTGTGGAGAGGAAGTAAACGAAACAGATGATGCCCTTGCAGTCTTTGTGGAGATGCCTATCCATAGATGATATCGAGGGCTACAAGGTCTGTGCAGTTCCTGTATCCCAGGGAGAACCTGAAAGTGGGATTTTCAGTGATCCCGGTACTCCTACCTTGCAGCCCCCGTGGTGTTTGTCACAAGGGACTTCCTGCCCTTTACCACAGGCACAGAATCGGCTTCTGGAATCTGGGCTGTCCGGAAAGCACGAAAAGGCAGGGCTACGCTTTAGAGTGTGAGAGCCACTCTACAAAAGCAGTGTTGCAGAGGGGAGGCAAGGAAAGAAAGTGAACTTTGTTTTTCAACCTACTTTGCCAGTTTTTCTTTTAAATCTTGACAGTTCTGTTTATTTCCCATGTCTGAGCTATGGCCCAGCAGAGGAGTTGAGAAAAGACTGGTAACTTGAAAAATCCATTGAGTCAGCTGATTTGAGTTCTTGACAGAGTCTATGGGAAACATTTTAGAATTCAGTAAAAAATTAATATACAGCTCTTTTGACTTGCTGGTAGCTAATACTTTAAAACTTCACATTGAAGTGTGTTCATCTTGGTATACTGATAACTTTTCTGTAAATCCTATGATACAGTGGCATCCAAAACTTGAGTCTGTTAGTACATACAGGATTAGTAAACAGCCCAAAGAAGCTGGACCTGATGCGGTTTTTTTTCTTCTGGGCCTCACGGTATTTGCAAAGGAATATTTAAGCTTAGCTGGTTATTTACATGGGTTATGTTGAAGCAGTGTGTTCATTGAAGAAACATTTACGTATTATGTAAGCAATAATGTACCTTTTTTCTTCCTGGCTCAGTATTTCAGAAAAGCTTTGTAGCCTTCCAAGTTCTGCGTGCTTTATAAGGAGTAAGTGTGTTTTAAATTGTTCTGATTATACATGTGTGAGCAGCGCCTCACAGTCTGGCTCTTGCATTGCTCTTAACAGTTCCATCCGAGTTCTAAATCTCAGTTTTATTCTGTAGAGACCGAAACAATGGCTGCATCACGTTCTCTCTTCTGGGAATAGCAAACAAATACTGACGTGGGAGTTACCCAGAGGTGTGTGTACACCTCCCCGGGCCGCTCATGCCCACCCCACTCCTCAGCTCGGACTGTTCAGTAGAGTTTACTTCTGTTAGTCGTTTGTTCCTTTTCTCAAGAATCTACATAGGAATCGTGCAATTACTAACATTCCAGGGACACCGAAACTCTAAGGTCCAGGAAAATGGAGTATGGGAGTATTGTTTTTGCCTTTGTTTAAACCGTCTACCGTGAATACAGTTAGAGGTGAGTGGATTAGCAGCTTACTTGTCAAGTAGAATGTTTGGTAGCACAGTGCGTGTGGGCCTTTAGACGCGACCCAGAATTCCTGGAGCCCGGAGCCTGCTGTGGATGCCAGTACTTTGGCTTGGTCATTGTGGCTTGAAGCTGTTCTCTGTAGGGTGCTCCGTATTTCAGTTTCCAGCATTCAAGTCTGAACACACGGTTGATGCTTTGAATACTATTTTACTGTACCTGGGCTTTGTAGTTCAAGGCCAGCTTGAACTGCATAGTGAGACCCTGTCTTAAACAAAAATCAAAACATGAAGAAGCTAATCTGACTTGTATTTCCATCATATACTATAATATATATTTTTATAAAGTAACATTGAATATCAGCATCAGATACCAGATTTTTAATGACAAACATTTTCTTCATAAAGTCATCTCTGTCTCAGGGTTAGGACATCATTATCCAAAATACACCCCTAAAGGAAAAAATAGAAAATTCCCCAAATACCAAATTTTAAATTGCAAGTTAACAGTATGTACCAAGGACCCAGAAATACTAAGAAAATCTGGAAAAAAATTCAAAACTGCCTGTCACCAAAAATGCATAAATGAGAGGAAAATTAATGACATTCAAAAAAATAACTTGCATTAAAAATAAGGGCACGATAGTATACAATGATAGACACTGTAAAAAAGACTGCAAAAAAACTCACTCCCACCAGAATTTTAATAATTTCTATTATGTACAGGCACAAGTGTGTGGCAAACGTACAAATAAAGATAAAATCAAAGGGGGATACTAAAGCAGTGGTTGCTTTTCAAGAAATTCTGTATGATTTAAAAAATTCTTATTTATGTGATTTTTAAAAAAATGGTCAACGTGTATAGCTTTTCAGATGAGAAATGAACATATTTTACATTTTTAATTGTCTAGTCAATATAGTCTCAAAAGTAAAGTAACAAAATCCAAGTAAATACATAGCATAACTACAAACTCAAGTCACTCAACCCATAAGATTGGAATTGTGGCTATATGAAAATATGAAGTTTATGGTCTCTTTAAAGATGACAAGATGAGATGGTAAACCTGTTGGTCATGTAATCTTAGCAATTTTGGAGGTTGAGGCAGGAGGACTGCTTGGCCTAGGAGTTGACAACCAACCTGTGCAACATAGCAAGACCTTGTTTCCGAAGCAAGGTGTGTGTACGTGTTGATATATATATATATATATATAATCTCAACATATCTACATGCATATTCACCAGAAATGCTAACATCAATGTAACAACTAATAGGATATATCATGCTTGAATTTTTTTTTTTTTTTTTTTTTTTTTTTACACTACATAGTGAGACTGACCTGGAACTGACTAGCCCAGGCTGGTCTCGAACTCACAGTGATCCTCCTGCCTCAGCCTCCGGAGTGATGGGATTACTGGTGTGCAGCACCACGCCCAGCTTTGAATTTCTTTTTTCTGTACCGAACTCAGGACCTTGCACTTGCCAGACAGGTGTGACGCCACTGAGCTAAATCTCCAGCCCTCCTATCATGCTAGGATTTTCAAGAGTCAGACTGTTATTCTTGGGTGTTTTTTTCCTCTGAATTTCTATAACTCTTACAGAAAAAGTCAAGTTTTTCAAAAATTTCCATACTTGTACTAATTAGAGCAAATCTTGGAAAGAGGATTTGGATACTGAATTGTAATCAGATACCATTGCTATATTGTTACTACCACTGATGTGAAAAGCAAAACTTAAAGAAAACCTAAGTCTGGTGTGTTAGATAAAATTCTGCAGGCTGTAACTGCTGCTCTGTGTCACTGTCCCCTGCCCCCCCCCCCCGTGGCACCTGTTCTTCGCCCAGACAAGTCTTCCCACAGATGATAACGGTTTCTATGGGGGCCTGTTTTCTCTTCACCGAACCAAGAACACTCAGATGTGCTGTTAGAGACAGTCACTGCTTAAATAATTGCCTTTGTTCTGCTTCTGTATAAAAAGAATTAATGTAACCCCTACTCGGGGCTCAGAATTTGGAGTCAAAAGCTCCTTGGAGCCCGCTGGCGTAATAAAACCTTGATTACCCTCCAGCTCTCTGAGCGCCATGCAATTCTTTCACATACTGTTTCTGCTGTTACAACACATTTTGGAACCAGTGTTATCCAGGGACAACTCCCTGCCTGGCTGCATCTTCCAAGAAAGGATTTTCCTCAAGGGACATCAGGTGCTCTGGTCTCGCACGTAACCCTGACAAGCGTATATGTGGCTGCATAAGAGCCCTTGTGCATGTGTCTCATTGACACAGGACACAAAGTAATCCAAATAAAGTAATACAAACAGGGAAAGATTAGAACTCCCAGCCAGCTAGGTATCTAAAACTTGAGTTCATGCTCTAAAATAGAATAAATTCTAGAACAGTGGAGGTTAAAGAGTAAGGAGTGTTTACCGAGGGAAAGATAGCTCCTGCCTAAGCGACAGGAGGGGACATCCAGAAAGTGGGTTGCCCGACCAACCTGCTTCCCAAAGGTGTTTTACTGAGCAAAGCCACAAGGTGAAGCAGGTAAAAGATGGGACAAAACTGCAGTCAACTAACAAGATCCAATGGAAAATTGTAAGGTGGGCCTTAAGTAGAACAAAACCATTATCAATAAGATTACAAGCACCGTCACCCAGGTAATACTGATTAAATGGAGATCAAATGGGAAAGTAAGTCAGTAGCAAGAGTACACCGAGTGACCAAGGAAATTCCAGGAAGGAAATGGACTAGGAAGATTCTATTTAAGGTTAGTGATAAAATTAAAACTTTTTAAAAAAGCAAAATAATTATTGGTACATTCTATTATTTTTTCGTACTGGGGATCATACTTGGGACCTTGTGCTTGAGAGACAGGTGCGGCATGACTGAGCTAATCCCTGGCCCTTGATACCTTTTATATATACACACCATGACCAAGTGGGATTCCTCCCAGGGACGCAGGGATGGTTCAACACATGCAAATCAGTAAGTTAATACACTGTTAACAGAGCCGGGGACAAAAATCATGATCCTCAATAGATGCAGAAGCAGCATTTGACAAGGTCCAATACCCATTCATGATAAAACCTTACAGAAAATTGCTATAGATGGTCTTTATCTCAATCTGATAAAGTCCGTCTATGACAAACCTACAGCCAACATCATACTATATGTTCAAAAACTGAAAGCTTTCACTCTAAAATCAGGAATAAGGATGTCCAATGTCACCACTCAATATAGTTCTGGAAACAGAGCAAGTAGAAAAGGAATAAGGATAGGAAAAGAAGTTGAATTATTATTTGCAGGTGACATGATACTTTACGTAGAAGACCCCAAAAGCTCCACCTTCTAGATTTAATAAATTCAACAGCAAAGCTGGATATAAAATCAACACTCAAAAATCAATGGCCGGGGCTGGGGATTTAGCTCAGCGGTTCGGTGGCCTGCCTTGCAAACGCAAGGAGCGGAGTTTGATCCCCGGTACCAAAAAAAAAAAAAAAAAAAAAAAAAAAAAATCAATGGCCTTCCTGTACAGGAATAACAAACACTGAGAGAGAAATTAGGGAAACATCATCTTTCACAATAGCATCCAAAAAAATGAAATACCTAGGAATCAATCTAACAGTGGACTAGGGAGATTTTAGTATTCTCTTAAGGTGACTGACTCCTATTTAGAATATGAACCACTGCTATTCATCTCTAGGGGAGCTATGTGGGTGTCGCGGTTTCTTTTTATAATGCTGACCTTTAGTGAACCTGTCTTTTGTATTGACTTCTTGAGGGCTGGCCCTAACTGCCTACAAGATATCTAGTTCACTTAGCTGTCTACAGTATCTTCGTGTTACTGTCTGTCACACTGGCTGAAGGAGGTGACAGAAGAGCAGGAACTTTATTATCACTGCTGTACAAAGCGGAATGTGGACCTGGAAGGCTGAGTGACCAGCCTGCATTGCCCAGGACACGACTTCCACACCAAGGCCTCGACCCCTAACTCCACAGGGCTTCCTTCCTGTAAAATCAGCAGGCCATGTGGACACCTGCCTGTGATCCCAGCACTGTGGGAGGCTGAGGCAGGACAAGGATGACAGCATGCCCAGCCTGGGCAATTTAGCAATTTAGCAAGATTGTCGACGATGATGATTTATTAGTATTACTTTAAAAGGACTGGGATGCAGCTCAGTGTTTAGGGCCTGAGTTCAATCTTCAGTACTGCAATATACATAGAGAAAAAAATAGATAAACCAAAAACAAAGTTCAACTTTTGAATTAAGTAGAGAAACATGGGTTATTTACAAAAGATATTTAATTTAGTAGGACTTCAGTTTAAAATATTAAAGATAATTTAGTTGATCATTAGTAGGGAAAAGTCCATAAAATAAGAATATTATGAGCCACACAGTCAAGTATAATTTTAAATATCTGAGAGGACTAAAAAGCCTTTTGTAAACGTCTTTTCTACTCAGTCCCTGCAGATTACTGCCATTGCAGTCTCTTCCTCCCTGCTTGAGTTACTTTTGGAGTCTCACCTCTCACAAGCATGTGGCCACTTCTCAGGTGGCGGCTTTATAAATCTGGTGACACCGCCACAGCGCCGGGGCAGACAAGCAAGGGTCAGGCATCAGCTCCTGCCTGTGTCCTTGGAAGCACAAGGTCACACCCAGGCCAACACTTCTCAACCCAGTGTCCCTGTGTAGACACCCAGGCGTCTGCCTTCTGTTAATATTAGCCCCTCTCTGCTACTTTTGGGCATCATTTCTTTGTTATTGTTATAAATTTTTTTTCAAAGATGTGAAAATGTTTCCAGTTCAAAATTAGGTGACAAAAATAGATGCAAACCGATGCAAATAATTACATAAGGAACGGTCCTAGCAGCGATAGTGATCTGGGGGAGTAGACTTCCACCGCTCCTATCCGAGACGTGAGTTCATGTTCTCCAAAACTGCAGAATGAATTCTAGGAACAATGGGGGCTAAGAGTAGCAAAGAGTTATTGAGAGAAAGATGGCTTCAACCTAAGAGAGAGAGAAAGGGGACCAGAAAGTGGGTTGCCTGCCCGCCCTACTTCTCAAAGGTGTTTTATGGGACAAACCCATGAGGCGAGGTGGGTTCAAGGTGAGACAAAACTGCAGCCAACTGGTAAGATTATAAGTGCAGTCGCTTAGGTAATATTGATCTAATGAGAAATCACAAGGTGGACGTGAGATGGGACAAATCTATGATTAACCAGTAAGATTATGACAAGTGTAGTTGCTAGGTAATATTAAGTGAAGATCAAATGGGGAAGCCAGTCACAAAGCAAGTAGCAAGCAAGTACAAGGAACAAGGATAAGCAAAGATTTTTGATAAGGAGTGGGTCAGGGACCTTTCCTGGAAGATCTTGGTCCCTCACCCAGGTGATGGATACCTATTTAGAATATCAATCACAAGTATTCATCCCTAAGGGAAGCACATGGGTGTAGTCGTTTCTCTTCTTTTACAATGCTGGTCTTCAGTGATTGTGTCTCAACTGTCCTCCATATTGCTCCTTTGTGTTGGCCCTGTCTAACTGCCTACAAGGTATCTAGTTAACTTACCCATCTATAGAGCCAGGCATGGTGTTGCACGCCTGTAACCCCAGCACTGGGGAGGCTGAGGCAGGAGGATCGCTGTGAGTTCAAGATCAGCCTGGGCTACATAGTGAGTTCCAGGTCAGTCTCAACTACGTAGTGAGACCCTGTCTCAAAAAACAAAACAAAACAAAAACAATGAAAAGCTTACCTATCTATAATAATAGGAAAGAAAAAACACTGAAAACCATGAAAATGATGATTTGTGGCCAGAGTGAGTTAACATGTACTTATTTTTTCTTTCTACTTATCTGCATTTTAGAAAATATACTACAGGGATGGGGATTTAGCTCAGTGGTGCCGCCACCTGCCTCGCAAGCACAAGGTCCTGAGTTTGACCCCGGTACCAAAACAAAACAACAACAACAACAACAACAACAACAAAAACACCAAAAAAACCCCAACAACAACAAAAAAACCCCAAAATACTACGAAAAAACATTGT